TTTCTTTTTAAAGTATAAACAAACTATTAGGCAACAGTAAAATCAATTGATTAGGATTTAGATTTTTTTAAAAAAAGAGACACAGCAGCTCTTCAGATCAAAACCAATTTAATGTACTTTCAGTTTAATGCAGGTACAATTTATACACTGCATGCCACAACAAAACCACAGTATGATGCCAACACAGTCTTTAAGAAAGTTTTCCCCTAAATCTCTACAGAAAGCAGCCTTAAAAGAAAGCAGGGATTAGAGTGAGCTAGAAGGTAGGGAGGGGACTTACCTCAAACCCAGCCAAGCGGAAATCAGAGCAGTAATTCTACAAATCGGCAGAGTACACTTTTAGAGCTATAATGGTGTGAAGAAGTGCTGGGCAGCATTGCCTGAAGGCAGCACTAATACACTGATGACTAATGACGGGGCCACGCAGACAATGAATTTGGGGGTTGAAAACCAACAGAAACCGTGCAGTACCTTGACAAATGGGCTTTCACAATTTCATTCACTGAATAACCTTTAAACACAAAATTGGCTCAAGTTCTCTTGGGAATAACATGACACATGTTGTTGGACAATGATATAAGTATTTTCCTTTTTAATTAAGACTATTACACCAAATACATAAACATGATTATACTGAATGAAATATAGGTGTTAACTATTTACCAGCTAGAGGAGAAGTTAGGACACAGAATTTAAAGTACTTTCCTGAGGCCCAGCAGTCCCCAATATCAAACTACATAAATGTCTGCAATTCACCCTCTGCGGAAAATATTTACTTTTTGTTAAAATTTTGCTGGAACGAGGTGAGGAAACACCTCTTAAAGATGCATTACAGCAGTCTATCAATCAATCAGTAACAAGATGCTCAAAAATGATGTAGTAAAAGATACACTTGGAATTACAACTGAAAAAGTCTAATTTTAAAGACACTACTCAAAGTCAAGCCATCATAAAACAAATCAAGCTCCATGTATGCTTTGCAGCCTTGGGTAATCATAAACACATTAAAACAACAGTATCACTCTTTAAAGGGGCTTTTTTTCAGTGTCACTTGACTTTCAATCTGAAAACAACAATTTTGGCTATTTTTACAGACAGAATGAAATATCTAAAGTGTCTCTAAATTAACAAGCACCACTTACTCCAGACAGCATTGCCTTTAGCAGCTCCTAAAAACTTCAGAAAAGGATCTTTAAACAGGAAGCTTAGTGAGCTCATAAAACTGTTGTTGGAGCCAGGAACACATAGCATATTTAATCTGCAAACTGTGAGAGTCTACAATGATTTCAGCAAGATCTGAGGCATGCCCTCAAGGTTTGCTGGGATCTGGGATTAGGGAGTTGATAAGAACCTCTACTGCCCATGGACATGTTTTTCTTCTGCAGTTAAACACAAATGCATAGAGACGTTTGACTGCTGCTTGGCGTTACTGCTCAAGTTATATAAAAGCTTTGCAGCTCCTTTTGCTGTCAATATATCAAAGTTAAAAAAAATCATCAAAGTGTGAAATTTCATTTAAAGTCTGTGCCAGTCTACAACTCTATTTCACAGACCTATCAAATAAAAGTAAAGATGAAAAATACACTGAAAGTACTTGAAAAGTTTTCAGCAGCCATGCCCTATTTTTGTTTATTCTGTCTCATTTTATTTGATTTTAAATTATAACAAATCAATGCACAAATAAAAATTACAAAATCTAAGGCAGTGGCAGTGGGGGGGGGGGGGTAGGGTGTCTATAAAACCTGTAGTTGAAAGTCAATTTAAAGTCATTATTAGAGCTGAACCTTTTGTTGAATAAAAAGCTTCCTCTATAGCCATTTTAGCATTTTAATTACCTAGCTGCAAGTTGGCAGAAAATTTCTTGACTCTTCCAAAACAATCAGAATGACTACAAAATATGAGTGCTAGCAAAACTAAAGCCTTCTTCAAAGTATTCTTTAGCTAGGGATTTACAACAATTGCATAAAGAAGAAAAGTCTGACTTTTAAGATAATCTACTATAGTCTAAAAGCATTAACATTCCATTACTAAGGTTTTCCTAAAGATTTCATGACTCACTGATTCACTTTTCCTTCAAGTCTTCTTTTTCTTAGTACATTACAGTCTCCATATAGTTACGTGCATGCAACCTTGATCATTAAACTGCTTCCTTTCATAATTCCCTCCTCCTCCCCCCAATGGATCTTGCTTTAATAAGCATCAGATACCTTATTTACTGGGAAAAGATTACTAACTTTTCAAGAACACTTTGCAACCAAACAGATTTCACTTCTTACTTGAATTCAAACAGTCAGGATCAAACCAGCTGCTGGGTGCAGGGGGAAATAGTTTTACCAAAAATAAGAGAGAAAGTGTAATTCAAACTTTCCAAAGTTAGCATACAATTGATAACTGAAAAGCAATTTTATTAAGTAACTTACAAAAGGAAATAAATTCTACTAACAATTTTAATGGAGGAGTCTTAATATTTTAGTTTATATACCAGCTAATCCAAAATAAAAATAATTAAGAAATTAAACATGGAATGTTTATAACACAACTACAAAATACCTCATTTTCATTTCAAAATATACCTTCAGATATGAACTTTACATGCACTGCTAAATGTTGTGTTGGCTAATACATACATTTCAAGCACAAAATAGGAGTCAACTCATTAAGGAAAATACAGGTAATTCTTTGTTTTGTGCTACTTGGGCAGGAAAATGCTTTGGAAAACAGAATGCCATACTGAAAGCCATGTGCAAGAAATGCACAGATATACTTCCTTTACTCTTGTTTTTTTTTTTTTTTAAAGAACTATATACACTAAAACAATGCCTTTTCCCCACACATTAGATTTCTCAACCACATGATCTTTAGTGTAAAAGAAATGATCTTCCGCTTGTCTCACAGATAATGTTATTTAATGTTTGCTTTAAATTTGAGTGTAGACTAGCCAACTAAATGTATTATGTACTAGCTTGTTAAACCCAAAATTTCATTATATAAACCAATTCTGAGCATCCTTCATACAGTTTACATTGTTAAATTCATTCACCATTACTTTTAATATAATCCCTCAACTGAAATCCTGTGGTATATTCAGAACTATTTTTACATTTTAATGTTACTCTTCTTTGAAAACATAGCATTTTTCTCCCTTCAAAATAATCTTGACATATGTAATTAAGAAACTGTCAGATCATTATTAATTTTTAATAAAGGACCTAAATGAAATAATTATAGGAATCAATCAGTGAGGTACCTTTCAAAATTACAATGCAATTGCACAAATATTCAAAATACTTAAGGCCCATTCTTGTGGATCTCAGTTCATAATCTCCCAAAATACCAAACCATAAAGAGTTGTATAACACAAAGAAATTTAGTGATTTCTAAGTATTAAAGAGACTTAAATGGTTCCCAGATAGATACATATATCAGGCATGTAGAGACACACAGTGAGAGACTCTGGCGCCCTTTTAAAAAGATTTGTTAATTTAATTAGCCACATATTTCAAAGGCTTTGAACCATTTTTATATTGGAGTTCTTCTGTGATCCAACGTAAAGGAAGTTAAATAAGCATGATGAAACTTCAAAATAAAAATATGCTTTATTAACCCTTGAAAATAAAGTGTGGTGCGTGGTATGCACTGCTAGCTAGCACTCCTCTGGTTAATTTGACTTTAAACATTATATACCAAGTGGACAACCATCCATACCTTTGACTAAAAAGGCTCTTTTACTTAGAGATCCATACAGTCCATCATGTCAAACAGAAGTGGCAGCTGGAAAATGTGGAACAGCTGGCAAAGAGCTGAGAGAAAATGTTTTACATAAATATATCTACATATAAACTGGCAGAAGGCCACAAACACTACCCAAAGGACTGGCTCAAAACTATACACCAGAGGGTTAAAAAAATGGAGGGGCGGTGTGGAGGGGATTCCTTTTACCTTTTCTTTTCACGTGGTGCCAGGACTAGGAAGCTGCACATTTAGAGGTGTGTGTTTATATCATCTAGGTTGGAAGAAGAGCAACTGTGCAAACAACCTAAGTTTACAGGCTAATTAAAACAACCGCATATCCACTTTCCTAAAATGCTTTAAAGTTATTTGATGGAAGAACATGCAGAGGTCCTAATACGGATTGGTTTGTGGCAAATCATATGCGTTCTCCTTCTTCTCCATTCCTCCACCCCCCCAAAAAAGCCGAGAAAGTAACTGTCGGGAGTGATTCATACTCAGTCCCTCCCCGCTGCAATATTTTTCTCCATACATTGCGAGGGGAGAAGGAAGGGGGAAATTGTAGAGGGTGTATAGATCCCAGCAGTTTGGTGTATGCAGCTTTCCAAGTTCCAAAGGCAGCACCTCACAACAACAAAATCATAAAGAGAAGCCACAACTTTCACTTTTCCTCTGTTATGAACGAGACGCCTTCCCCCATCCCACTCCCAAACTGTTCCCCTGAAACTCCTACAGATTAATCAAAACAGAGTAATAGGAAACGAACCTCCGTCTCCTCTTCTCTCCCCAAAACTAACACACGCAGCTGAGTCCTTCCACCTATCCAGACAGCACAGGGTGTTTGCTACAGCAACAAAGTTTCAGCCAAAGAAACTGGCATGAAAATAACAAGCAGTTTCTTTGGGGGGAAAGCAGCTGCTGCATGCAAATCTGTAGTTCAACTGTGGGACATTAAGCCTCAAAATCCTTTCGGAGTGCAGTAGGGCAGGCAGAGTGAGAGAGAGAGAAAATAGTTACATATTATTGTATAATTTGGGGGGGTTTTTGGCTTTCAGTTAAGGACAGTTTGACAGCCATTTTTTGGTTAGATTTCGGATAGTCTCCCGCTCCCCACTCTTCCAAGTTAAAAAAGAGAGAGAGGGAGAGGAAGAGACAGAGAGAGAGAGAGCTCTGAAATGAAAATAAAGTGCCCCAAACCTCTGGCTTCTTGCAACCATTGTGCAGAGCCCATTAAACAAAGAGGAACTTCTTGCAAAACTCAGTACACGTACCTGCTGCTGCTGCTGCTGCTTCTGTCAAGCCCCCCAAACTTCCCATAGAAAAGGTAGGGCTGCTGTATCTCACACGCACAGTGCATGCAGTGGGGATCTCTCTCTCTCTCCTCTTTTGCAGAGCTTAACAGGACCGACCCCAAAGGATGAAAGCGGGCATTTTGCTTCTGTTTGGGGGGGGGGGGGAGGATGGATTGAGAGAGAAGAGGCCGGGCGGTGTGTGTGTATTGGTTGTTGTTTTATTCCTGCCCTCCTCCCTCAAAGCGAGAGAGACAGAAAGAGAGAAGCCCTCTCCGTTTGTGTGCGCGCGGATCCGACATCAGTTTCAGTGATCTTGTAATCTGATCCCTTCTGACTCACCCGCACTGACTGACATTTCTGATTTGGTTCAACAAAGGGGGGGGGGGGGGGGAGAGAAATCTACCAGACTGTATCAAAAAACTTGCATCGGAAGGGCTCCCCCTCCCCTCTAACCAACCCATATAAATTGCATTGTAGCCCCCCACCCCTTTTTTTAAGTCCACCAAAGGAGAGAAATAAAAACACTCTGCTCCGATACTCACGTGTTGGAAAAGTTGTCCCTTTCGCCTTCCTCCCTCTCTGTCTCTCCTTTCCTCCTCCTCCTTCTTCTCCTAGTCCAAGTTTTACAGATGTTGCAGGACTCCTCTCCGCCACCACCCCCTCCTCCCCTTCTCTCTTTCAATACTCCACTCTTAGTCCAGAGGAGGGGGAAAGAGCTTCAGGGAAGGGCACATTGCTGGTTCAACCCCCCTGCAGTGCGGATAGAGAGGGGCACTAAACTTTCTGGAGTGAGGAAAGATCTTCCCCCTCCCTTACTTTTGTCTGACTCCCTTCTTTGGATTTGCCCGGTGGAAGTGCTACAAACGTGAGGGTCACCCGCTCCCCTCCTCCTGTACACTGGGGAATGTAGGACTATTTCGGTGAGGAGGAGGGAAGTCAGACCGAAGTCAGAAGAAGAGAAGGCGTGTGGGAGGGGGTGTGCCCCTGGGTGCTGTTCAGTGCCTGGGAGTGAGGGAGAATGAGGAGCTGGGACCAGCAGAAACACGCGCTCTCAATCTGATGTCCCCTCTTCCCCACACTTCTCCTCTCTTGTCCTTCCCCCCCCCCTCCCCCCAGCTTCAGCTCAGACACCAGGAGGCCACGCCCATAGCTGGGAGGGATGGGGTGGGGGGAATCTGTTGCCTTCACCCTCCCCTTCCTTCCCTCTGGTATCAGTTTTTCTCTCTTTTTCATCTTCCTCTCTTCCTTCTGTCCTGCTTTCTGCTTCCCTTCCCATCCTCAGTCTCTGCCCAGCTACACTTGTTCTCCTTTCCTGCTCCTCCTTTTTTATCCTGCCCTCATACTCTGGTTCATTTTACCCTCTGCTTCTCTCCCACTATCTTCAAACTTCCTCAGTACCGCCAGCCCCCATCATTCAAAAATCATGAGTCAAGACCCATAAAAGCATGAGGTTTTTTTTAAAAACAATGTATTTGAAGTGTTCTATTTATTTACCTTCTGGTTTTTGCCCCCTCAGGGTTCACATTCTCAGGTTCAGCACTGCACCCACATGGGCTGGAAACTTACTTTTTCAATTAAAGCTCAAAGTCTCATGAAATCACATGACTCCAGGACCTGGGGCTGTAAGAAAAAAAAACACCAAGGATCAGAAGAATTGGAAATATTATTATACTGCCTTCCTTCTCCAGTATTGAGCCTCTTCTCCATTTAAAAACCTGCCTTTGAATTTTTTATCCCTCTTTTCTTTATCTTTTCTCCCCCAGACTAGGACTACAATGGTAAACCTTTAACATGGAGAATTACTTCTGCGTTCTGTCAAAATTCCCATTGTTTTGCTCTCTAGCCCCCATTGTTCCCCCTGGGGTTCTACAGGCATTAACAACGCACCCTGGGGCTGTGTTTTTAGGTTCCACAGGTACTTGGAACTCAGCTGAGGGTGTCAGTTATGGTGCCAAAAGAATACAAGATTGTCCCTTCTCATGTTTCAGCCATTCAAGAATCAAAATACTATGCCAAGACCAGCTCTTGTGTTATTTTGGCTCCATACATGGGTCTCTTTGGCACTAAAATAGCCTGAGAAGAGCTAATATAAATGAACACAGTCACACCCACCCACCCATATCACATCATTCTCCAATCAGATCAAAAGTTCGGCCCCTTCAGAAAGGAGTGGGTATATGCATTAAAGTACATTCCAATATATACCTAATCGTGTCAATCATGACATATACCCAATGGTGTAGCCCAATACCAAACCTTTGATATGCACCTTTTTGTCATGATCTGATTACCAGGGGAGCCAGGGTCTTGACTTAGACCCTGAATCAGCAAGATGCTTAAGCACATAACAAACTGTAAGCACCCACGTACTCCCACTGAAGTCAATGTTAGTTACAGTTAGGCATATGCTTAAGTACCTTCCTGAATTGGGAATTTAAATGAGAGCAAGATCAGGCTTTAATGCTTTTAAGGCCCTCACTATTGCAAGTCTTGTGAAATTTCATATTTTTCTTAAAGCCCCAGATGCCTGAATCAAAAGATTGCATGAGAATCTCATCTTTTTTTTTAATATTAAGTTCATTAACATCTTCATGACTACAGAGAAAAGCCTGAAAATGTGAAGCACCTGTATCCTAAAGATTTAAAAAACAGAAGACAAAAAGAATCCAACATTCATTATTTTTTTTTTAAAAATCCATGATTTTGGAGACCTGATCCATTATTTTTGAACACTTGGGGATGGCAATATTGTTTGAATTTTCCTACAGTTTGTATTATTTTCATGAACATACTGACTTGATGGAGATGGTGTATCTGTGGATTGTTAACTATTAATTTTTCACAGCAATTAGAGATCCATGATACCCTTGCTCACAGTGAGTACCCTCTTATTTCACACACAGGTCCACTGACCAGTATAGGACTAACGGTGGAGTAAGGATGTAAGATTCTGGTCTTATTAATGTTTCTACTAGTCATGAGTTATTTGTTGTGATTTGGGAGAAAGTTAGTTGCCACATGACAATACAATGGTAATGTGAAATATGACAGGGGTAGGAAAAGTGGCTAGAAGCCTATTTTATTCACTCTTTTCTTCTTTCTTATATTTTTTGGATTTTTTTATAGTTTAAAAATGACCACAGTCAGCTTAATCTCCAGTAAATTAAAAATAATTAAAAGTCCTTTCAGGTACTACATTGATCCTTCAACTTCCCATGCCATTTTTTCATGTTCTTATAATCACATTTTCCTTTTAAAATGTTTTTCTCTCCCCTTTTGCTGCATGAAATATCCTCAGAAGCCAAAGGGGAAACTGACTTCTTATATACAAAGTACTATTAAATAAAGAGAGAAACTAATGAGAAAAATGTTGTTTATCTAATCTCTTTCAGGTCTAGTAATCTGAGATGTTAGTGGTAACAATAGGCAGTAAAAATATTCAGACAGAAGTGTGATTTTAAGTTGAGGGTGTCCAGTGCTTAATTTGTACTGAAAGAGATGCCGGGGCTCAAGAAATTTTTTTACATTCATAACTGCCAAGTATAGAGGTATTGGGGATCAGCCCTGGTACAAATTAAGCACTGAGAGTGTCCCTTTAAATCAAAGCTCCTCTTGTGAGCAATAGTTGACTTTGAACTAGTGGGACTCCTCTTTCCTGTGAATTTGAACATTTTCTCATGCTACAAAATAATATTTCATCTTTTACTATTCTCACCCACACTGGGTATTTTCAAAGCATATCTTTCAGCCTCCAACCTCCCCCACAAAATCACCAGTGCTCCCTCATCTCCCCCCCAAAAAATTAAGACAGTTAAGAAATTTAAAAACTTAAAAGGAATCAGAGTGTTTTCACTTCTGCTTATGGGAAAAGAGACTTCTGATACATCTTTGAGCCTTGAAAATCTTGAGGGAAGAGGAGAAACAAAGAAACAACCAGGCTTTCTGCCTTTGCCAGTCTGAATGGGTCAGACTGAGCAAAAAAAGAAAAAAAAATATATGAAGGAGAAGGGGTGACATTTGCCATTTGAAATGTATTGTAAATGTTTCAACACCTTGACAATGAAACACATAACAGAAGCTTAGAACATCCAAGGCCCTCCAGCTAAACAAAATGAAAATGGGCAGATTTGTTTAAGGAGGTTCCCTCCTGAAGATTTGTCATGTCTGTTTTAGAGAATTCACACTTTAAAGAAGAGTGGCAAGGTAAAAATATTATGTTAACAAGAAATCATTACTATGGGGTTGCATTGCCCCATTGATAAAACTCACACTGGGAGATTCACCTATATGATTCCTTTGGGAGCAGGTGTTGCCCCTTGCAGAATAGGCCACTGGCTCAACCCCAACCTCCACCTCTCTACCATCCACTATGTCAACCGCTCCTTGGTAAAGTATGACTCCATTAGAACTCAGGGCTGCCAAATATCGTGTTTCGTGCGACACTCAAACATTCATTCCTGCATCACAGCTGCCTTCCTTCTTGCTGCTCCCCCTGTTGGATCAAGGCAGGAAACAGCAGCCAAGAAAAGCAAGCAGTGCAGCAGGGACAGCTCAATATGAGGCTCAATTGTAGGCTCCCCTTTCCCCACACATCCAGCTGCACCAAACTCCCCTTCCCACCCACACCCCACTCCAAACCCTGCAAATACCCAAACCCAGGAATACCATGGTCCGAAGGACCCTCTAACTTTCAGAAGTCCCCCACCTGCCACCCCAAGCAATCCAAGCACCTCTAAACCATCCAGGGGTTCCCTGCACCCCCCTTCCCATCAGCAGTGCCTAATCCCCAGCAATTCCAACAGCACTGTAATCGTTACATACATGTTAGCAGTTGACAAGGGGAAGTTCAAAAATCGGAAAACTAAAAAAAAAAATCATGTTTTTTGGTCTCTGTCATGATTTTCTCACTTGTGATTTTTAAGCTTTTGGGGTAGACAATAACGTATTACTCGCTGTTTTAGTGTGAGTTGCATGGTATTTGGTGCTTTTCTTAAAGACCCAGCTCCTGAAATTCTGATTAGGTGAGAATCTCAGCTTTCATTTAAAT